AAGTGACGTTCTTACCCACGAAAGCTTATGCTCCCAATACTTCTGTTAGTCTCAAAGGTGCCACAGGACCCTCTGTTGCTTTTTACAGATTCAGACTAACACGGCTACCCCTCTGATACTTGATACCCAATGCATGGCAGTAGTAGCTGCTCACCTCAGAAACACTGGCATTCTGATATTCCCTTATCTAGACGATTGAGTTGTCTGTGACCATTCCAGGTATAAAGTAGAGATCAGCATCGGACAGTCTTCATCTCAGATGCTTATAGGGATGGCTGAAGTCTGTGTATCATCCAATCATGTATTCTTTGGACATTCCAATTCACGTACCTGCAAGAGTGCTTTCCTGACTGAACTGTTGGAAAGACCAATCAACATTTGCAGGGGTGTGCCCTTTCCCACTCCTTTTCCATCCCTGACTTTGACTACGGAGGTGTGGCAGGGCACATCACTCACCACTGAGCTGGCGCCTTCTCCTGGTCACTCTGGGCATTAGCTCGAGGCCGACAACCCTCCCTCTCCTTAGTTTGCACACCGTCACTTTGTCTGCATTCACCTGCAGCCCCCCTTGTAGCCTCAGGAACCGCAATGCCCTCTTCGTGGTTTGGCCTCTGGTCATGTCACCATCCATGTTTCCCCCTTTTGGGGGTCTCACCATGCCTCAGTTGGTCACACCTAAGAATGCCAAATTCAGGACAGACTGAGAAATAGGGCAGACTCACCCCGAATTGTTGGTTATTCTATCATTAGATTATACCCAGCCAGTAACAAGAATGAATTTCTGTATCACCACACTGGTTAACAAGAAGTCAAAAATGCAATCTCCTTAGGCATTCCAGTCCTTGGGTCACCACCCAGACACACTGGGCTTTATGATGAGTGGTTACTGAAAACAATTTAATCAGATATAGGGTCCTTCCAGTCCCAAGGGATCAGCCACTTAGTCTGGTCAATATATAACTCAGATCTTACCCAGTAATCACACTGATGCCAATCCTTCATAGCTAAAAATTAAAGGTTTAATAATATAAAAAAGAAGGAAAAGAGTTATTGATTGGTTAAAGGATGATATACATACAAATGATTTTCAGCGTTCATAGATCAGAATCACAGCAGCAATGGAATAAAATGCTAGCTTGCAAAAGTCTCTGGAATCACCCAAACAGATTGGGGGTCATCAGTCCTTGTTTAGAGCGTCTTTGTTAGAAATCCAGTCCAGACAGGGCCGGCGCAACCCATTAGGCGACCTAGGCGGTCGCCTAGGGTGCTACAATTTGGGGGGCAGCGACCTCGCCGGTATTTCGGCAGCGGGACCTTCTGCCGCCTCTGTGGGGGGCGGTATGTCAGGGCGGGACCTTCCGCCGCCTAGGGCGGCAGAAAAGCTGGCGGCACTCCAGAGTCTAGAGAAAAGAAGCAATAAATGAAGACAAAATGGAGATGTCTCAGGTGTCTTTTTATATCCTCTGCGATGTCCATGGAAATTTACTGTCCCAAACAAAGTCCACAGCCCCTGTTTATGGAAAGTTACTGCCCCAAGATAGTCCAGGATGACATGGGCATATCACATGTCCTTACATGGTTTGATGACTCACAAGGGTTGGCCCCTTGGTGTCTGAGGCATCCTTGGGGAGAGCTGTCTGGGTGGGAAGAGTTTCTTCAATGGCCCATTATTAGAGTGAAGTGTCCTTAATGAGCCATCCACACATAGCTGTCTAGCCTTGATATAAATCTATTTGTGAGGTGTCACCCAGGAATAAACACCTTTGAGATAGAAATACATAGCCAATATTCATAACTTTAGATACAAAAATGATACATGGATTTAATCAGGATAATCCGACTTAAACAGATTCTCTGTTCAGATGCCTCTAGCACTTCTTCCAAAAGATGTCTGTGACAAGGTCCATTTGGCCTTCCCTGACCCTTCTGCTGGAGGCGCCAGCACCCCTGACACCTCTCTTCTCAGGCCAGCCTACCAAAAAAAGTAGTCCTCCAGAGCCTAGAAGGGCCAGGAGGAGACACTGACCAATCAGGAGCCAGCAGGCCAGTTAAGAAGGTTTGACCTTGAGAAGAAGGCAGAGCTCAGTGAGACTGGGACACAGGAGGAGCTTCTCAGTATTAGCCCAGAACTTAGGGCATGTCATGGTCTTGCCTTCAAGTGCTGCAACTAAGTGCTTGCCTTTGAGGTTTTGTTTGTTTATTTCAAGGCTCAGACAGCTAAATTCTGAGTTTATTTCTATTTAACTATTTAGACAGTGACACTGAGCTTACAGCAGGGGTTGGCAACCTTTGGCATGCAGCCCATCAGGGAAATCCATTGGCGGGCCGGGATAGTTTGTTTACCTGCAGCGTCCGCAGCTTCGGCCGATTGCAGCGCCCACTGGCCGTGGTTCACCCTTCCAGTCCAATGGGGGCTGCAGGAAGCGGCGGCCAGCACATCTCTCAGCCCGCACTGCTTCCCACAGCGCCCATTGGCCTGGAATGGTGAACCGTGGCCAGTGGGAGCTGCAATCGGCCGAACCTGCGGATGCTGCAGGTAAACAAACTGGCCCGCCAGTGGATTTCCCTGACGGGCTGCGTGTCAAAGTTTGCTGATCCCTGGCTTACAGTATAGGCTACCTAACGGGATTCCAAAACTTGTGGACTAAGGCACGGAGCGCCTATAGTACCATGTTTGGCCCCACAGAGGGCACTATGGAGCAACCCTGCTTGCCACAACTTGGTACTTCTGTCCATTGAGGAGAGCATATGACTCTGGTTCAGTAGCAGCAGGTTCAGGCAGAAGCCCAGAACTTTTCCTGGAAGTACAAGAGGAGGCCTGGTGAACTACAGAGCTGCAACAAGCTGTGCTCCTTGAGCTACTGCAGCAGCAATTCCCAGAGGCTATGCTCAAGCAGAAAAATGGTCAGTCCTATTCCAAAGTGTTGCCGTCGGGGCCAGGCACAGCCCTTTGCAGATTGGGACCCACTGATGATCCAGCAGAGGAATGTTAGAATGGGATTCCTAAGTCTCCTATCAGATTTTGGAGGGGTGTGTGTTTCCCCTGTTCTCCCAAGTCTGCCCCCTTTTCCCCCATTCGCATAGCCAAGGTTGGCAATGTCCTGAGAAAAATTACTTTAGGACAGGGTGCTGGTAAATACAGATTTTAAACCAGGAAATTGGGGAAAATAAAATTATGATTAGAATATACAAATGAAAATTACTGAAAAATATTTAACAATTTGATAAAAGTTTTGCAGTAATTAATTAGAGGAACTAAAATAAAACGAAGAAAGAGCCTCAACCTAAAGCTGTATGTTGTTGCTTTGCCTACCTCAAACAGAAACTGAAACTTCTCAATCTGGGAATTCCCCTTCTTTATTTAGCAATGAATATTATATATTTGTTTAGCAAAGAAAAAGAATTCCCAGATTCAGATGTTTCAGGTTCTGTTTGAGGTAAACTGCCTAACTGTCTAGTCCAGTACTCTGTCTTTTGAGCTGGCTGGCTGGAGTGCAACTGCTTACAACTAAACTTGGTGAGTACAGTGACTCAAGTCAGAATATTTCAGCGTGAGCAAAGTTGGAAGACCACTTGACCCAATTCATGGCTATTTTGAGAAAATTCATGAAGATGGCAAAGAGAGTTTAGATGCAGAAATTGCAAAGGAAAAATAAGCGGGATGGCAGATCATATGAGAAAACATTTTGCAAAATGCAGTGGAAAAAACGAAGACATCAAAACTACTGACTTTGGCTAAGTGAGTATTAGACTCAAACTCTGAGGATGAAGGTACTGATAATACTGCATTGTCATTGCCAAGTACATCAAAAGAATCATAGAATCATAGAATATCAGAGTTGGAAGGGACCTCAAGAGGTCATCTAGTCCAACCCCCTGCTCAAAGCAGGACCATCCAGAAAGACCGATCCAGTTCAGCCAAAGACAATGAGGAGGGAAGTACCACAGTTTTTCAACCAAGTTTGTAATAAAAACAATTCCAGAACTGAAACAAAAGATAGACTTGAAAATTGCAGATTTTTTATGGCTGTAATATTCCCTTTTCTGTTATTGAACATCCAACTTTTCATGCAATGATCAGCTGCAGAAAGCTAGGCTACAAATCACCCGACTGAAAGCAGGTAGCAGGTGAACTATTAGATGCAGGTACTGATGGCTTGAGCATGGAAGCACACAACAAATTACATGGAAAAGCAGGTACATTAATACAAGATGAGAAAAAGATGCAAAGTATGAGAAATGATTTGACACAAGATGCTGACGCTTTGATTGCATAGAGATATGCATCACATTAGCTAAATCTGCTTGGACAAGTACTTTGATGAAACACATAGATTTATAAGCCTAGAGCCTGGTTAAAAGAATGCCAAGGGTCTGTAAAACCCCAAATCCCTGGTGACAACAATGGTACAGACAAATAATATATGAGGAAACATACGTTAAAAATTGGTCACATTATCTCTGGATTATGAGTGATCATGAGGCAGAACTTGAAGATAAAGTGATCAGTATAATTAATAATCTAGGGATTTACCAAGAAGCAAAGAATTTGGTCCATTAGTTGAAACCAGTTGGTGTGGCACTTCACAAACTCCAAAGAGATACACCGACAGTGAGAGTTGCATGTAAAGTATGGTTGGATCTACTGATAAATGAAGATCTTGCACCCACAAAGCAAAAGTACAAAAGAGATTTAATGAGGCAATTACTCCTGTGTCAACCTCCTTAAGTCAAAATATGCAAGAAAGAAATTGTCATCTGAATAAGAAGAAATTGCAAGGCTGTGGTTGCTCAACAAAAATCCCAACTTTCTGCCATATTTACTTTCATTTAAGTAGAACAAACTCTGTATCCAAAATCAATGTTTTCATCTGCCATCAAGGGAAAAGTTTCCCTTATAAAATGTTGGAAAAATCTGAAGAATGCTGATATTCCATCTGACTTTATAGAATTAGTGGTGCAATTGCATCAGTGTCCAGGAAGTTCAGCAAGAATAGAATGAATCTTTTCAAACTTTGGATGCATCCATTCAAAACTGAGGAATAGGTTCCATCTGTCCACTACATCAAAGTCAGTGTTCTGCTATAGAATGCTGTGTGGCAAGATGGACCTGGAATGATGTCAGATTTTGAGGTTCAACCCAGACCAGTAAGAGGTTATGTCACCACTTGTCCTCTAACCTTGAGTGCCTTAAAATGCTATGCTTCTGTAGCTCCCTGTCTGGACACTCCCAGACAGCATACAAGCATGCACTGTGTGTCTCTGTGTCAAACAGTTCTGGTTCAGCAATTCTGACTCCAGCAGCCGCTTATTACACGACAGACATATTCTGGTCTCCAGCAGCCTTGGTTATTACTAACTAAGTGACCCCAACACATTCCCAGTCCTGAATTTTCCCCAAACCATCTGCCCTGAAACGTCCAGCTCTCTCCAGGAACGTTCAAAGGAGTAATAAGGCCTGTTGCTCTTTTAAAGAGACAGAAGCACCATAGCGTTAATAATCACTTCAAACTTGGTTAATTTAGAATAAAAGTAAAACAAGTTTATTTAATCAAAAATAGAGAGGTTTTAAGTGAGTTCAAGCACAAGGGACAAAGACAAATTGGTTGCAAGCAAATAAAAGTAAAATACATTTTTTAGTGGCTAAGACTTGACTCAACAATCTACAGCGTTGGGTTCAAGGTAGATTTCTTACCAATCTTTTTCTTTTTATCCATGGCTGACTTTCTTTAAGTCAGGAACTTCTACAGAAGTACAAGGGGCTGCAGGTGAAAGATCTTTGCCTATGCAGGTTTTTCACTTATATTCGATTCCCACAGACTTCAACTCCCTTGGTTGAAGGATCCATCTTGCTCAGATTTCAAGAGCTCTGACCCCTTGTGCTGTCTACTGATGGATCCCAAGATAGCCTCTTCTCTCTCCTTATATCTTCTTAAACTCACTATTTTGTCCCCAGACTCGGATGACCTCATGCTTTTCTTCCCTTCCTATGGGAGAAAACCTGTTTCTCTCCCTGTTTTTCACTGACTTTAAAGCATAATATTATTGAGTATCCATAATTCTTCATATAGTATTAATTTGTACATTTCACAGTTATATTAATCACCAATGTGTCATTAGCTTTCATAAAAGATCATACTTGATGCACTTTTATAATACAGTAGTATTGTATACTATCAGGTGATTCAATTACTTATCATTGGAGGTTCAGACCCGCTAAGAGGCTATTTCCCCCACTTGCTAGGTTGATTACTCTGTTTAGCTTGTATGTAAATATACTTTAATTGTCTCTGCCTGAGGACCAGGCTGGTCAGACAAACAAATACATGATCCTTTGTCTAGGGCAGACTGTTTTTATGCATTGTTTCTCAAACACATTTTCAGAACATAATTCTAGCACATATCTTATTTGTGTACATCTCCTACATATACCCTGTTTCCCCGAAAATAAGACAGTGTCTTATATTAATTTTTGCTCCCAAAGATGCGCTAGGTCTTATTTTCAGGGGATGTCTTATTTTTCAATGAAGAAGAATACGGTACACATTTTTTTGCCTTATTATCGGGGAGGTCTTATTATCGGGGGGATGCCTTATATTACAACGAGAGGCAAAACTGTAAGTAGGCCTTATTTTCGGAGGATGTCTTATTTTCGGGGAAACAGGGTATCAAACAAGATTATTAATGATCAGTGAGATACTAGTTTTCCAGCAATATATTGCATTCCACCTTTTGGGTGTATATCATGAAAACAATGTGTTAGGTGTAGTGAATAGGTCAGGCCTGACGAGTTGCTGACACAAAGTCGTGAACCACCAATGGGCCTCTGTGTCACAACTGGCAGATTGCAACTCTTCATGCTTCTGATTGCTTAACACTTCATTCTTACGGCTCTGGGGTATTATCATTTCATGTAATCAAATTTTTTTACTTTTGTATATATGATATTGAAAAATTAAATGAGTCATAACATGTATAACTTCCTTAAGAAAGTTCCAAACTGAAACATATACAGACCTTCCAATGTTCAATATTGTAATTACGTATATTACTATTACCTCCACTGCAGTTTTATTTTTTATTTGTACAACCCTAAATTAATCTCCTAATCTATTGTTTTATCTAACCACAATTCAAATATGTAACTGAAACTAAATGTAATGTGCTGTGCATTAATTAAACAGTTTTAAAAATAGAAAATTCCTTAAACTGGGACTAACTAGTTTTTGCTGGGGTGGCAAAAAACATGATTTACCTGGTAAAAACCACCTCTGGTAAATACCATGCTATCCTTGCCCATAACATGGCCCTCCACAATTTGTCCCTGTTCTCCCTCCTTCTGTACCCCTATAGCCTGTCCCTGCTCTGTCCATTCCAGCCCACCCCTGTCCTTCTCTCTCCCTCTTCACTACTTTGCATTTAAGCATGTCAATCTGCTTTTCCTCCTTCTGCGTGGACACCAGAAGGGGGCATTGAGAGAACAGAAGTCTGCCTGTTCTCTGTTTCGGTGCCTGGCACCATAGTGGCCCTAGCTATGTCTGCAGCTCTGGGATGGTGTGTTCTCAGTCCAGTCAGCATATAAGAGCTGTGTGTGGATGGAGCATGTTCAGTGCAGGTGGAATCATTGGAGAATGTTACCAACTTCTAACAAATGTGTATAAACTGAGATTTTTTCAGAGATGTATAAATTTGGTCATATTTGGTAGATTTTCAAGTTCCTGCTCAAAATCATGGAGGCACTAGGGTTTCTCAATGAAAAGTTTGTAAGGGTTTTTTTTTAACAGGGGCCAAACAACATATTTTCCCCTACCTTTGTTCTTGGAAATGGCTGAACCATTTTTGCTGAATCTTTAAAAAAAAAATCAGCCTGAGGCAGATACCTGCTATGAAAAATTTCAGCCAAAAAGTTTGGCAAAATTATATGCAATTGAAAACTAGGTCTTATAATAGAAAGTATTAAGCAATGTTGACTATAGACGTTGCCATCAGTGCTGCCTATAATAAAAAGAATGTTTAAAAAATATAGTTTTACTGTACAGTTTTCAACTCAGTCTGAGCTATATCTGAGTTCTGGTCATTTTTTGATAATTTTAGCTCCAAATTTATTAAAGGAAAAAGCAGGAGTGAATTATTAAAAATAAGCCTTTGCATTTATTTTTAGGTGGAAAAGAAGTAACAAATAAAGAAGAATTAAAAGGCGTCCAATGGGCTTCATGGACATGTGTTTATGGCCTTGAAGTTAATGGAATCTGGCCCAAATATTCAGATATCAATGATATCAATTCTGTAGATGGAAATTTTAATGGTCAAGTTTTGGTTACAGCTGATGACTATGGAATAGTCAAACTATTCCGGTACCCTTGTTTAAGAAAAGGTAATATCTTTGTTTGACATAAATTATTAATGAATATTTATAAAGGTTTGGGGAAAGTAGAAAGGTCTTAAAAGTTATTTAAATGGCAAAGCTTTAGAATGTTAAAGTACAACTGTGGAAACTAGTAATGATTTGATTAAATGAACGTGTAATAGTGACTTACAGAATTTATGATCCATGTTTTTGTGTGTACTTTGGATAAGATAGTGATTTATATCACCACAGGTTTTATATGGCAGTAGTACACAGTTTCTAGAAATTTTAGTAGAAGAACAAATGCACTATGGGCATTCCTTTATAATTATGTTTGTTTTATCATGATTGCTGATCTGTCATGTTTCGTGCTATGGATGAAATTGTGTAATTATGGAAAGTAAGAATAAAAGACCTTTGTGCAAAGAATCTCTGAGGGCTCTAAAAAAGTGAAGGAATTCACCCCCACACATGCACTCAGTGAAGCACAGTGTCAGCACACCTGATCCCATGAGCTGCAGAAGTGTCTGCTGTGGTCTCACTCCATTCATATGCAGATCTAGGTTAGTGGATATTGGTCATTTTTATTCCAAGTAGACATTCCCCCTTTTCAAGTGCTTAGTGGCAGACTGGATCATTGGCTCTGGGTTAGGGGCTAGGATCATCCTTCAGGAGGAACTCCCAGAGGTGTTTGCCTCCAAACTTGCAGAGGCAGTAGACCTTCAGACTGCCCAGGGCCCTCACAGGAAACACCCTTGCCCCAGGATGAAGCCTAGATGGCAGATACATTTTCCCCAGAGCCATTTTGGAGCCATTTTACCCAGAGAAACCTTTAAAGAGGTAGTGTCCATTTACTGAGCACAAGTCCTGGGGCTTCTGAGCATAAAAGCAGTGCCAATAGAGGGACAGTTCCTTGTGAAAGGAAGAAAAGCCCCAGTTAAATTCTTGATCAATCGGTTCATCAGCCCACACAGAGAGCGCGCGCCAATCACAACACATCATTCGTGTTGTTCTAGACAGTTCTTCGACCAACTGCTGACCAGGCTGTCAGTGGCACTGGACATCCAATTGGCATAGCGCACTGTGGCCTAGAACCCCTGAGCGATCTGCCAGCCTCAGCTTCCCAAGAAACTGAGATTACTGGTGCGTGCCACAGCACCCCAGGTCCCAGTTAAATTATGCAAATTGAAAGTTCATGACTTTGGCTTCTCTCTGGTTCTAATCCTAGAAGTTCCTCTATATTGCCACCTTGTTTGACGAAGGGGAACTGTCTGATTGTGATTGTGTGATCCTAGATGAGGAGCCTCAGCAGAGGTTCCCTCTTCACCTCTTCACTGTCATGCTAAGAAAAGTTCTAGCAGCCCTGGAGATGCTGCTGGATCAACCCCAGGAGCAGGGCCCATTGATAAAATCCAGGGAGTGTCTGAGAAGTATTTCCTAGCTAGCATAAATCAGGAGCTTTGTGTTCCTCTACAACCTACTTCTGAGGACTTGATTAAGGCAGAGTGGGAGTTTACCGTCAAGGAGAAGTTTCGTAGCTGGCAAACACAACAATTCTAAACACCCCTAAAGACAAAAAGGACGTTGGCAGTCTTGCCAAAGTTGGTGCAGCCTCAACCTGAGTCATAGACTCTGGCCCACAGCCAGCAGTTTAATCTTCCTCCAAGCATAAGGGAAAGAGGGACATACACTGTACACATTGACATTCCCAGAAAGAAAATTTTCATATAAGGCTCAGTTTTCCAATGCCTTCCACTGCCAAATATGCCTCAGATATTAAAAAAGGTGCAAGCTTTTCCTATGGCCGTGTATATACTGTCAGGTCATCTGTTTCCAGCTGCTTCAGGTCCTGCTATTCCTTATTCTGAGCAGCTGACCCCTGTTCAGCCAGGACTAAGCATCAGGGAATATGAGGTTAAATACACCTCTACCCCGATATAACGTGACCCGAGAGAACACGAATTTGGATATAACGCGGTAAAGCAGTGCTCCGGGGCGGGGGGGCGGAGCTGCACACTCCGCTGGATCAAAGCAAGTTCAATATAACGCGGTTTCACCTATAACGCGATAAGATTTTTTGGCTCCCGAGGACAGCGTTATATCGGGGTAGAGGTGTAATTCAAAACTCCTTCCTTAGGTGAAATGGGCCTCCCCTTCCCTCTCCCTCTCTTCCAGTGCTCCTACAGAAGGTGAGGAAGTAGCTGACTTTCTCATTAGGGAGACATGCAGGGAACATGTCTCCAGGCACTGTAACTGTGGTCTCCCTCATAATACTCCCTCCCTCTTCCAGCCCTTACCCCTCTCTAAGGGATTTGGGCCAGAAGTCAGCAAAGATGATTTATCTATTTTTCCCAGTTAGGGCACTCAACTGGGATGTGGGAGAGACAGGTTCCAGTCCCTGGTCTGAATCAGGGAAAACAGAGAGTTGAACATGGGTCTCTCACATCCCTAGTGAGTACTCTAACCAGTAGGTCATTGATTATTCGTGGGTGGGTGGGTTTTTCAACAAAAAACTTCTAAAGACTCAGCTTCGTCCTGGTCAGGAATGGGAAAAAAATTGAAATCTCAAACATTTTAATGGGAGTGGAAAAGCTTTTTTTGGTTGGCTCTACTTTTTGTTCTGCCCTACTACTAAGGGTAAGGGAAAATCTCAGATGAAATTTCTGAAGCTGAAACTCAGCGCAAGCTACCTCATACTCTCAAATGAAGTCCCCAAAATGAGGAGTATGTGTGTATTGTAGGGGGAGAGGGAAGTCTTTGCAAACTCAGATGTTTAACAAAAAAGAGTTGTTGCTGCTTCACAGTTATTCAAAAAGCTCTATTCCAGAAACCATCCAGGTTGAGCAAGAAAAGTGCTCTAAGTCTCAAAGAAGAACAGGAGTACTTGTGGCACCTTAGAGACTAACAAATTTATTACAGCATAAGCTTTTGTGGACTACAGCCCACTTCTTCGGATGCATATAGAATGGAACATAACTTCCGAAGAAGTGGGCTGTAGTCCACGAAAGCTTATGCTCTAATAAATTTGTTAGTCTCTAAGGTGCCACAAGTACTCCTGTTCTTCTTTTTGCGGATACAGACTAACACGGCTGCTACTCTGAAATAAGTCTCAAAGATTTGTTGTATCTTAAAACCTGTGATACCATGATCATATGACATAGCCCCTGAAATGCACTTTAGCATTTGAGGAGGTAGAGTCTTCATAATATTTAAGATTAGCCTGGGGACTAGACTGAATCCTAGCTTTTGAAAGAGCAGAGAAATAATGTCCTATGGTTAATGCTAAGTTTTTGTCATGGATATTTTTAGTAAAAGTCATGGACAGGTCACAGGCAATAAACAAAACTTCATGGAAGCCCATGACCTGTCCCAGACTTTCACTTAAAATATCCCTGACAAAAGGGGTAGGAGGGTTCACCACCCACTGCTGCTGGGGGCTCCCATGTCCCACACCGCTGCGGTGCGTGGGAGCTCTGGGGTCCCCCTGCCCGGGGGCTGGGCTGCTGCAGGGTCCCCTCACCCCTGGACAGCTGGGAGCTTCAGGGTTCCCCAGCTGCTGGCTGCGGCTGGGCAGCTGTGGGGAGTTGCCCAGTTGCCCGCGGCAGTTGGGCAGCCACAGGTGTGCCCCGCCCCTGCTGTACAGCTGCAGGACAGCTGCAGGGTCCGCCAGTCCCCCCACTGCGGCTGGGCAGCTGTGGAGAGTCCCCCCCGTTGCCCGCCGCAGCTGGACAGTTGTGAGGAGTCCCCCCACCAGGGCAGGGGCTGGGAGTTGCGGGAGCAGGGCTGGCTGGGAGCTCCAGTCCCGGGGCAGAAAATGTCATGGAGGTCTATGGAAGTCATGGATTCCGTGACCTTGGTGACATAATGGTAGCCTTACCTATGGTTCGATCATGTAAGAAATCTGTATCAAAAGGAATCAAATTTTTTTACTACTTTTGAATTTTTTAGATACTGTAGTATGATTTGAGTCCTTTAATTTATCCATGAAATACAACTTAATGATCTAGGGATACTTGAGAAACAGATAACTGATCCTAGAGCCCTAGATACATCCTCAGAATCCTCATGTAAATCTGCACTTACTTTACAATCAACTAGTTCTTTAAGGGTCACATACTCTCTGATGTTTTTTAATTCAAGCTATAACCAGAGCCGTCCCTTGGGTACAGCAAATTGGGGCAACCGCTCTGGCCCTGCGCTTTGAGGGGTTCTGCAGGCTAGTGCGATTGGCCGGCGTGGTTGGTCCCGGAAGTGACGGGTTGGTCACTTCCGTCCTAGGTGCTGGGCCCCCCTCAGGATGGCCCTGGCTTTAACAGTGTGACCTACCTAATGGGCTTGAAGACACACATTAGGCAAGTTCATATAACCTTTGTGCTATTATAGAAATAAAATTTTACCATGAGTTTGTGCCACTCAACAATGGCATGAATATCTAATGCTATTTTGCCTTATTCCCTTTTGCAAACACAGTTTAAGAAGTCCTTCAGATTTTTTTTTGATAGCAACTAGCAAAAGCCTTAAGGCTAAGTGAGATGAACCAAAAACCCTGTCCTAAGAAGAATTTTCAGAAAAATCTAAAAGAAACCAGCTTCCTCCTTCTTTTAAGCAGTTTTGAGCATGACTAATTAAACAGCAAATGAACCTGCTGAATAGAAAGAATGAGAATGCCTGCAATGAGTTCTGTGAAGCCAATTTCCTTTTGACATATATTTGAATTTTGCGTTTGTTATGGTAACAGAGCTTTGGTAACAGAGCTAACCAGATGTAATAGTAGTGATGAGTATGCCTGGCAAGAATTGCTTAACACTCAAAGCTCTTCAATGGGAAAAGTGGGAGCTGGCACTCTAAGCTTTCAGATAGCCCAGTGAGGGGACCCCAATTAAATATGTGTAAATAAAATTAAAATGCCACCCTGTGATGGCAGGGAAAGTGATTCTAATGTAGTAAACTTCATGAAAGCCTAGCATGTCCCTCCTTCCTTTCTGCCTCTGCTTTTTCATCTGTTATTAACTGGTGCATGAAAGTAAAATTAGGCAGATTAGAGGCTGGGAATTCATAATTTTGTGACTCTTTATCGATCCATCTTCCTGTTACAAAGCAGAGCAAATGGAATTCTAGTTATCCAGATTGGTGGCATCTAGTGAGCAGAATATTTTTTTTACTTAAAGCTTAATGGTTATTTTTTCACACCTTGTATAGAAATGTTCCCTGTTTTTAAATCATTGTGCTTTTGAAAGATTTATTCTGAATACACTGAAAATGCTTTATTCCCCTTTTCCCCCCGCCCTTGTTCTAGGAGCGAAGTTTAAAAAATATCTTGGGCATTCAGCTCATGTGACAAATGTCAGATGGTCACATGATCATCAGTGGGTTGTTTCTATTGGTGGAGCTGATCATTCTGTCTTCCAGTGGAAATTCATTCCTGAACGGAAGCTGAAGGATGCTATTCACATAGCACCCCAAGGTGAGAGCGCATAACATTCTTTTATGTTTAAAAAAAACAGTGAAAAAGGTTAATATAAGTATCAAAATAATTTATACATATTCAGAATTATTTAACCTTATGCACTGATCATCCGTAAAATTTTGCAGTTGCCTGAGGTAGCTAATAACATAACCCCAATATTTGTTGATACTTCCTATTATAAGTATAGAGAGATTTGGCAAATATACTCATCACTTTCCTCATGTCCTGTAAGTGCAAAGACAATATTGAAGAGTTTTAAGCATCACCACTATAAACATACCAGTGTTGTAATAGGGTTGCAAGGTGTCCGTTTTTCGATCGGAAAGTCCAGTCGAAAAGGGAGCCTGGCAGTGTCCAGTCAGCACTGCTGACTGGACACTAAAAGCCCGATTACCTGCAGTACCCAGTCTCCACCACCGGGAGGTGAGAAAAAGCAGCAGCTGTTGTTGGAATCTGGAGGAGCAGCGGAGCACTCTGGAATGGCTCCAACAGAGAGAGGTATTAGCGGCTCTCCCATCCTGCGCCGAGAGTGGCTCTCCCTGCCCTGTCCTGCCCCACTCACCTCTCCACCCCAGAGCATGGCTCTCCCTGCTCTGTCCTGGCCCACTCACCCCTCCACCCCCAGAGTGTGGCTCTCCCTTCCCTGCCCAGCCCCGGTTACCCTCCCACCCCCAAAGCGCAGTTCTCCCTTACTGGCCCTGCCCCACTCACCTCTTTACCCCCGGGGCATGGCTCTTCCTTCCCCGCCCTGCCCCACTCACCTCTCCACCCCTGGAGCATAGCTCTCCCTCCCCCGTCCTGCCCCACTCACCTCTCCACCCCGGAGCCTGGCTCTCCATTCCCCGCCCTACCCCGGTCACCCCCCGGAGCCTGGCTCTCTCTCCGGTGTCCTGCCCCAGTCACCCCTTGAGCCCTCTTAGCTGGCAAGGGGAGGGCAGTGGAGAGAGCAGTGAGTGACAGTGGCGGGGGGGAGAAAAAGGAGCAGGGGCTGGGGCCTCAAGAGGAAGAAGTGGAGCAAGTGGCAGGGCCTCTGGGGAAGAGGCCGAACAGGAAGTGGGGGAGATTCCAGTGCTTAGTGTCCGGTTTTCACAAATTAGAAAGCTGGCCACCGTATTTGCAAATGAATTATTTTAGTTACTTGAGGAAATGTGTAATAATATGCTTTCATTGAGTATGTAATCAGTGAAGTAAGATTTAACATGCATCGATTTAATTATTTAAATTCTAAAGCATTAATTCGTGTGTTTGAGATTTCTCAATCAAGGCTCTCAGTTTAGAACAGAAGCAAGCTATGGGCCCTTCAAGTATCCCATCTCTAACTTGCATAATTAGTGTTAAAGATCAGATTTAGGCCTCAATCCTGCAAAGATACATGTGCTTAACTTTACTCACAGTCCATAAAGTAAAACATGTGCCTAAGTCCTTGCAGGACTGGAGCATTATTTATCTATGTCAACATTAATGCACTATATCAATGACTTTTATTTAACAGTTTTACAAGGGGTTTCTTTATATATCTATAAACTAGGCTAAATGGGACATGTCGAGAATTGAGTTGTAGTCTTGAGACGAGAACTTTTTTGTCCCAAAAGCATGTTTAATTAATTATTTTGCAAACAAATATAATATGGTATTATATATAGTGTATGATCTTGATACAAATAATGAATTTCCAAAAAATCATTCTTTTAATTATATCAGGCTTTTATTTAAATTGCCTTGTTTTAATACATTCTTATTTTGTAGTGGTATGCTGAAAAAGTGGATGTTTTATACTTACTCTTTTAATTAGAATTTCGTAATTGTTTAGTAACATTGTTTTTTGAGAATATTCAGTAAAGTTTTAGATCTAGCTGATCTCATTCCCACTTCTTATTGCTCAGGGCACATACAGAGGACAATTTTTTTCTGTCCCTCTCTCCCAACGGCTCATAGACCTGTCAGTTAATCTTCTAATAAATATTTTATAGTTCATGGTCTGAATCCCACAAACATTTATGCCCATGCTTATCATTACATATATGAATAGTCCCATTAAAGTCAATATAAGAGTATCTTAATTTTAAAGAGTTTTTGTTTTAAATTTTCAAAAATTACTACTGATTTGGGGCAACTCCGTTTCTGGGTGCTCAACTTGAGACCTTCAAAGGTTGCCTGAATTTCAAAGGGTAAGTGTTCAGTGATTATGAAAATTAGGCTTCTTTAAGGTGTCTCAAGACAGAAGCCTACAAGTTGAGGTACCCAAAATCAGCACTCACTTTTGAAAATGTAGGCCTTTATGCTTAAGACTAAAAGGTAATCGTGGGTAGGAAAAAGTTGCTATTTGGAAGGGTATCATGGCAAAACAATTGTAGTACACTGTTTTTTCCTCTAGAAATTTGTCCAATTCAAATAAAATACCTTAGTAATAGTGACACTGAAATAAATCAGTTTTTAAAAATCAGTATTTAATATTAGTTCATTCAATTTTAATCTGAAATTGCAATAGCACAAATTTTCAAATTAGATTGAGGCTATGCACAACTTATTTAATATTTTTTTTTAGTCAGGAGATTTAAATAATAATAATTAATAATAATAGTGCTCTCTTACATAGCACTTTTCATCAGCAGATCTCAATTAAAATCCATTATTTAAATTGCCTCGATTTAAATCGTTCCACCTTGTCAAATAATGCTTATACAATAAAACTGTTAATTAAAACTATGCACAAAATGTATGCCATTCTGCATGATTACATTTAGTGAGATGATTTTGATATGAAAGGAGAGCTCAGTGTAAGCTACTTGATAGTCTCTTGCTTTCTGTGGCTGAAAATGTGCTTTTTGAGCAATTCTAGATGCATCCTTCTCATATATATTTCCCTGTGCCTTAGCAGTGTGATTTTGAGTATGGTTTTAGTATGGAGGCAGTATTTTCTGACTGATTAGCTCTTTCTGTCAGTGGGCAGAAATAAAATATTCATGTTGGTTTTGTTGGCTTTAATGGCAATTTTAGATTCTATTGATTGTTTACTTTCTCAGAGAAATCCAAAAACGGAGTGATGAATATTTCCTCTTTTTTCCTCACATTCTCGCAACGGAGGCCCCTACAAGGTTGCAACTAATTACCCATCCTATTCAGTATGTACGTACAGCTGTTAGGAAAGACAAATTATATGCTTTTCTGGCAGTGCCACCAATAATCAGATGACTTAAATGTGCATTTGATCAAACTGGTGGAGCCTGTCAGGCCTTCCCTGCCCCCCTGCTGGAGGCATCACCCTGGATACTTCCTTGCTCAGGCTGGGCTATCAACAAGGCACAGTCCTCCAGAGGTTTGCAGGGCTAAGAGGGGACACTGACCAATCAAGAGCCATCAGGCCAGTTAAGAAGGCTTGTTTGCTAATACTCAGGGTCAGAACTGGGTGAGACTGGAACAGATGAGATTTTCAGTGCTAGCCCAGAACCCCAGGGCCAGGTCAGGGTCTTGCCTTCTAGCACTGCAACTAAGTGCTTGCCTTTGAGGTTTCATTTGTTTATTTAAATGTGCAGACAGATTCTGAATTTGCTATTATTTAACTCCAAGCTTATGGCACAGGCCACTTTGTTCCAAACACGCGGCCCTAACTTGTGGACTAAGGAAAGGGACACCTGCAATACTACATTTGACCCCGCAGGCGGCAATATGGGGCAGCCCCCACCTGTGACACTCTGATACTGAGATCTTTGTGCTTTTACAATACCTCATGGAAATGAGAATGGATGTGAGTGAATTGATTAGAGCTCATTTGCAGTAAGACAGAAGTGAATCTAATAATATGGGGAAGGCTCTAATGACATGAACAGTTGCAAATGTAACATTAGTCTTCACCAATGTGTTTCAGAATCTCAGGCACGTATCACCAGTTCTCTGTAGTATGTATATGTCTACATTTGTGTGTAATTCACTTTCTTTGTTATGATCCCTCAATGATCTAAGATCCATTTATGTGAAAGGGGCTTTCTGCTCCTGAACCACCATTGAAGTTAAAATCTGTTGGGTCATTCTCACTGTTGGCTCCAGAATTTAAACTTTACATATCTGGTAACAAGACATTGTCAGTGGAGGACCCATGCCTCTGGAATCTGCTCCCAAAAGTAAATATGATACAGTGGGTCCAATATTCAAAGGTGAATAAACTCGTATCTACAAAAACCTGCTTTTGTGCATACATATTATAGAAACAGAGAAATGTAGGGCTGGAAGGGACCACAAGAGGTCATCAGTAGGGGAAGCTAAGGTACAGACACATCTTGCCCAGGTTCACTTAGCAGCTCATTCACAGAGCCAAGAATGGAATCCAGGTCTTCCAGTCGAGTGCCCTGTCCACTGGACCACGCTGCCTGTGAAGTGAGTTTAATACGTGAAGCCTAGCTCTCAAAAAGGAAGAAAAAAGCAAGCAGTCCAAATTTGAAAGTACTGTTGTATTAAGAGAACTGATGATAATTTCAGATGATCTTATCATGGTTTAGTAGCTCATGTTGTAGTAAATATCAGGAGTCAGGCATAAGCTAGAAGTGTTGCAGTATTTTTCTGCACCATGTACTATTTTAATTAATTGTTTCCATCTACGTTTTGGTTTTCTTGATCACAGAAAGTCTGGTTGATTCTAACAGTGATGAATCAGATTCAGATCAATCTGATGTTCCAGAGCTAGACTCTGAAATTGAACAAGAGACTCAGATCACATACCGTCGACAGGTAAGACTTGAGTTTTAATGGCACAGGGACAAATCCTGAAATATTTCCCAAGGGTTTACTTGGTCCTTTCTCAAGAAAAGCGCTGAAGTCAATGGGAGTTTTATCCAAGTAAGGACTGAATAGAAATTGAGCAAGGATGTTAGGATTTGGCCCATTGCCAGTAGCTGACACATTCAAAGACAACAGAAACTCAGTGACTGCATGTATTCACAACACTTCATATCATGCTGTATTGTTTGTAATTTAAAAACAAATTGTATGCCCAGTTGGCTACAGTCATTGCAAATGTTTGCAGTAATGTCAATGTGCCATTCTGAAACTGAGCTGATCTATAGGTTTATTTCTTAGATACTTGTTCTTCCTGAAAACATATTTGTTTATATGTATGTGTTCTCTTTCATAAAGGTTTACAAAGAAGATCTACCTCAGCTTAAAGAGCAATGCAAAGAAAAACGAAAAAGTGCAGCTTCTAAAAGAAGAGAGAGAGCTCCAGGGAAAAGTATAAGATTACACTTTGTCCATGGGTATGAAAAATTGAGTTTTCTCTAAAAGCAGACTGGAAAGATTCATTTTCTGTTATAAAGTTGTGGCAACAAATATAGAAATGTAAGATTTAAATATGTGATGAACCAAGTGAAAATTATTAAGATCAGATTCTGTATTTTAGACACTTTTTACAGCCACACAAGTCTTTAAACTAAATGTATATACCGCAGTGGTTTTGTTGCCCAGCTAGATTACACCATGAAATTCCTACTGGTAAATCAGTTGGTGTGTCATTATTTTATAGTGCTTTCCAAATATAAGACTTGAATGTCACCATATTTTTTTGCTTCTGGGAATGAATCTCTCTTTCTCTGGCTTTACCAGTGACTCTATAGTTAAGACTGAGTTGAGTTTTCTACTTAAAGCAGGGTATCAGCCTCTTTGTTATCTAAGAAAAATATAGCATGTCCTCCCCAAAATTCAGCACATACGCTTTGAATAAATAACTAATTTTTGGAGAATTTACAAGTAAATGTATTAATTTAGGAATTTAATTCAAAATTGGCCCTTTAAGAAACTTCATACCCAGTTTCACATCTTTTTGGAATCTAATAAACTCAGTAACTGAATAATACTTCATACTTCTCAAATTGTTAAAACTCATTGAAGTCTTGAACCTGGGCTATATCTGAATATTTTTTCAGGATTAATAGTAATTTTCCCCATTATTTTTCATAACTGAAAGTATTTCTATTAAGAGAAGGGAAGTGGAGGGAATTAAGAAAAATATTATAGTTATTACATTAGAATAATAGGCAGAAATATAACTTCCTCCCTGTATTAAACAAAACTTTGTAAAATTTTAAGGAAGTATATGGAAACCAACTAATATTGCACTTCCTACCAAACGATGACTCTGCTTTGTGAGGTTTGATAAATGCATATTACGAAGGTCATGATGATACTGTGCAAATTTTGTCAAATGAGACACTGATGCTCGCCATCCTAAATGCCACTAAACACCTTTTAGAGATTTCCTCTAGGGTTGGTTTCTGAAATGATTTTAAAAAAGCAGACTTTGGGAAATTAAGGGAATTAATCAAAGAAGTCAACTGGACTGAATAACTCAAGGACTCAAATGTGTAGGAGGCATGACATTTCTTCAAATCAGTTATTCAAAAATTATCTGAAATTGGCATCCCCAGCAAAGGAAAAAACTTGTAAGGAAAGTGGTGAACCAAGTTAGATGAATAACCACGTCAAAAAGGTTATTAGAAGTAAACAGAGACCCTGTAGGAAATGGAAAAAGGGGTTGATCTGCAAAGAAAGCTACATTGTGAAGGTTAGAAAATGTCATTGAAATTTGCTACAAGTCAAACTGAATTAGCTCTTGCCAAGGAAATTAAAATAAATATTGAGGTTTTTTAGTTATATAAATAAAAAGAGAATAACGAAGGGTGTGGTTGGGCTGCTATGCCGGGTGGATGCGAAGGAGTTCAAAGGTAATCTAGGTATAGTGCCAAAACTAAATGAATACTTGACCTCAAGTATCAAAGGGGTAGCCGTGTTAGTCTGAATCTGTAAAAAGCAACAGAGGGTCCTGTGGCACCTTTAAGACTAACAGAAGTATTGGGAGCATAAGCTTTCGTGGGTAAGAACCTCACTTCTGAAGATGCATCTGAAGAAGTGAGGTTCTTACCCACGAAAG